GTCAGAGGGGAATAAGAAAAATGTCATGAATGATTTTTTTCCAGTCCTGGCATATGTAACCCTGACTCTGTTACCTAAATTTTATAGTTAGATCATATTCAATTTACTTATTAAACTGTTCTATTTACCAGTGGGATTTTCTGCAGTTGTTTTGCATTTCACTGTAAGGATAATAGAGTTCCTTTCCTCTCCTCTCCTCAGAGGATGGCCCTTTAACATAGCCCTGAGACTAGTCCTGTGATTTAAAGGTGAGCTTTGAGGATGGGACTAATTGACATGCATCAGTTTACAAAGAGCTCTTATCTTCTGAGAATGCGCCATCTTTTTCTCTGGATAATTATTTATTACATCTAGCTTGGTTCCTACATTTTGTTAGCTCTCAACATTGGCTCAAGAATGCTGTTAATATTTATTCTGTATTGATAAAAAGTCTGTCTTGCCACTATGAGTAAGTCTCCCAATTAATATTTTCTTCTCTAGCATAGCATTGTCATTTTTTTGTGTGAAAATGGTTATCTGTTTATTTATTACAATATTGAAGTCATATATAAATTTTCAATAAAAGCAGAAACTTTCTTACCTTAAACACTCTGCTACTTCCTTGCAATGAGAATGACACTGGTTTGAAGAGAAGCTTGTGTATCAGTAAGACTTCATGTGGGAAAAAAAAATGGTCCTTCTGAACACAGGGCAAGGATACACCATCCCGGAGGGGCCCTGCTGACAGAGGAACTGGATTTGAAAAGCAATTAGTCATATTTTCTTAAGCAGTGTAAACTATCATCTTACGTAAAGGGTCATCTCTGTTAAAGATTTGTGGAAATTTTTTATTCCACAGCACTGAAAAAAAGCTAATATCGATGAATTTTCCACGTTATTATTTTAAATTGTTACAATTTTGCACTCCTGTGAACTATGACTTCTGATAACTGGCAAGTCTGTAGGTGCTGAAGTGAAAGGAAGAGAGTTATTGTTGGAGGGGAGTGAGTGCATGCAGGTGTGTGTGTGTGTGTGTGTGTGTGTGAGAGAGAGAGAGAGAGAGAGAGGAGAGAGAGAGAGAGAGAGATATGAGGGAAAAGGAACTTTTAACAAGAAGTTCTAGGCAACAGAAATTGGCGATTTTATGGTAGTTTCCCATTACTCCTCTAGAGAGGTGTTCAAAACAAAGAAGGCTAATTCAACAAGTCTGGAGACAGAGAACAGTCCACTAGCATTTATACTTTTGCCTCGATCACACATACATATATGCACACATACATATACACACAAGTATGTATACATGCACACATACACACAAATTCCGTTCAAAAGCATGCAGCCACCTTCAGTTGCCAGTCTTTCAAAATGACAAAAACTTGCTACGGTAGTTTCTTCATGACAAGGATTTTAACAAGTTATTGAAAAGTTATCGGAACTCAATGAAATCTGGTGATTGTGCTCTTTATTCGAGCAGGAGGACAGAGCGAGCCGCCGCGCTCCCGGGGAGGCTCTCAGAAGCCAGCTCTCAGCCCCGGGAAGCCGGCAGACGCAAATCGCCGGCCCGGAGCAGCCCGAGGTTGGGGCGATCAGCGTCACCCACCCCACTGACCC